CGCTTAGGTCTGGCGGTCCCCATGATCCTCAACAACATAAGGCGGCCCTTCGGTCCTTCACCTTTCTAGGGAATTTTAAATCCTCCCGTAGGTGGGCTCCCGGTGTGTCCTCAGCAATAATCGAAACATCGCATCTACAGGCCGCTCTTAATTGGTCTTCTTTTCATCGTTGCCCTTCTAACCTACCTTATTACAGATAATAAACCAGCACAATCCCACACACAAACACCAACCCACACACACCAACACAACCCCACACACACACGCCCACACACACAAACACACACACACACACACACACACACACACACACACACATGCACTGCAGTGGAGACTGTCTGTGCGTACCCGCATATGGCCAGTCGTCGCCCTGTGATATCGACGAGCACATCAAGACACACACGAGCACGAACACAAGAGGAGGCGGCGGAGTAAGCACTGGCGAGGACATGACACCACTGGTGCTGCACATCACTTGGAGCAGGTGTTGTGAATGCACGTGCAGCAGTGCTCACCTCCTCAAGGCCAACCGTCACTTTGCCCTTGAACAGCTGCGCCGTAGCAGTTCACGTTGCGGTGGAATCATGGTGGCATGAGCAGCGAGGAAGTCCAAAGGCATCAGGCAGCACAGATACACACACAACACACACACACACACGCACACACACACACACAACACACACACAGCGCACCTTGGCGGGGATCACGGGAGCGATGCAGCAGAAGCTGGAGCGGTGACGCGAGCAAGCATGAACACAAGGGGAGAAAGGTGAGCGACACACTGAGCTGCGAACAAGGAGTACAGGCAGACACAGGCGAACAGACAGACGCACACACACACACACACACACACACACACACACACACACACACACACTCACACACTCACACACTCACACATGCACAAGTAAAACGCACCCCATTGGCTTCTTTGTGTCGTGGAAGGAACGCACTGCCGCCTCGACTTCACTGTCAACCTGGTCAACGTCGTCCACAACAGCAAGCGACAAGCAACGTGAGCGGACCGTTGAATGACAGAAGAGCTGCTTCCATTTGCAACACACTACGGCAGAGCAGCACGATGCGCACACGAAAGACGCCACGCTGCACGGCGAAGATATGCAGCAAGTGCGGCACACACGTACCGTGCAGTCTGCTCCCTTGACGGCAAAGTCGCACAGGTTCTTTGCGGCACCGAAGCCGCCGGGAACAATGAGGGCGTCAAACTGGTCTGCTGCAAACTCCGCCATGGGCTTCACGTCCCCTGTTGAACCCACGTGCAGTGACAAGACGCCAAGGTGTTTGAGCGTGAAGGATAGTCAATCTCACATGACGACAGCAGTGGAGATGCAATGCAATGTCGACTGTGGGTCTCTTATTGAAAGCAACGACATGCTTATGGAGAGACCCCAAGCATTTGCACAGATACGCACACACACACAGAGATACACACACACAGATACACACACAGACACACACAGGCACGCACGCACACACACACACACACACACACACACACACACACACACACGCATACCGCGAGCGATGCGGGCTGACTCGAGCAGGACGTTGCGTTCCTCCTTCATCTCGTTGCCGGTGGTGTGGTCGATCACGTGCATCT